AGTTAACACGATATGGAAAACATGATAAAAAATAAATTTAGCTTCGCATTTTTAATCATTTTTAATCGCATTTCTTCAGAAAATGAACAATATGAGTTATAAAAAATCATTAATTATAAAACGAATTTTCTTGATTATTAATTTCTAAAATTTTTTTTTCTTTTCTTTTTTTATATTTAAACATAAATCTGTTAGAAAAATAGAAAATAAACAATTTTTTTATTTAATTTTAATTTATCATAGTTTTTTACAATTCGAAGATCATAAATATTTTTACATTAATATCTATAATTTATAGTTACGAGAGGCTCAAAAACCCTTGTTCAATTTTAATCATAAAATTAAATAGTTTTCTTGCAATTTTCTGATAATAAAGAAATTCTATAATACTATACACTAATACTGTACACTAATAATAATGAATATACATATTTTCTTATGGAAATTTTAAATTTATTAAAACAAAAATTAAAGATATGATAAGATTCTTTCAAAAGAATGTCTTTTAAAAAATTTACAATTGTATTATAGATTTATAGCACAATATATAATATGTCTCTAAAATTTAAAAATGAACTTATTTTTTTCATATAATATATTTTCATTTAATATATTATACATACATATGGCTGCTTGATATTGGTGCAATTTAAAATGTAAATTTTAGAGAAAAAACTTTTTAAAATTTACATTTTTAGAAATACTATTATAAATTCTAAATATTTTAATTATTTAATTATGGTTTTTTGGTAAACTTATATATTTATATAAAAATAATGTAAATCTTGTATTCAATAAAAGGAAATTTGAAATTTTTTGAATTGTTACTATCAATACTAATTACTTTGTTCAATTTTTCATAATAAAATTATTACTTCATATAAAATTAATAACAAATTATATTGTATCAATGATAACATATATTTCTACAATATTATATGATTATCTCTGTTTTTAAATTTGTGCAATATTTATTTGAACTAAGTATTTTGTTATTTTAATAGAGATTTATAATAAAGATTTATATATAATCCTCTTTCAAACTTATCAAATATAAAGTATAAATTAATACATGTATCAGAAGCATTTCTCAATCTAATTATCACTTAATACTACTATTAAATAAAAATAAAAATAAGAAAAGCTTCTTGAATGATAATCAATATTGTTTTTAATAATTTAATACTAGTACGCGTGTTATCATAATCCTTATTTATTTTTATCGTTTTGAAAAACGGAAAATAAAGATTGTTAATAATATTTGATAGATATTAGAAAAATACAAAATGGAATTATTTATCTGTAGATCACAATATCCCTTCAAATACACTGAATTATATGAATTATATGTTGAAAATTTTTGCCTTGATTCGACATTAATTTATTACTGTCTCATACATATATGTATTTCGAGATGAACTTATTCGCTTTCTTATAAAATTATAACTCATTGTCAAGTTAAAAATATTTATTTCTTTAACGAACGTAACGATATAATAGTCTTAAAATATACTTGGAATGCATAAACGAACGATACTATATGAGATATTATAACGATTATTGTATAAATGTTATAACGATTTGTTTTTGTCACTAAAATCAAAATATTACAATGAATGAACAAAAATATTATAACAAATGTGGAGAAAAATAATTTATAATATATGTTTGTACTTATGTTTTCTTCTAAAAATAGATCGAAACTTGATTTTTAAATTTTGAAATATATGAAATTCGAATTCGAAAATGTATGATGTTTCAAAATTTGAAATTCTGAAAATCTAAAATTTATATTTTTCGTGGAAAAATTTTATCAAAAATTATAATTTTAGTAAAAAATCTTTAAAAATTTTAAAATTTTCTAAGAATTCTTCAAATTTATTCATAATTATAGCCATATATATAATAATAAAGAAAGATTATAATAAATTATAATAATAATAGTTATATTTTTGATGTGTAAAAAGTTAATTTTTAATTTTTATATTTTATCTTTCCTCTATTTAAACTATTATAATGGATCAGTGAGATCATATATGAGATCAATTATAATAAATTTGAAATTTAAACACGAACTTAAATATTTATTATTATTTACCTAAAATTAAAAAATTTTAAATATCATTTTTAGGTTTGCAAACTAAAAATTGAAATTTCGAAATTCCGTTATTTTATCACAATTTTTCCGTTTAAATTATTATAAATGATAATTTTATTATAAATTATGGAAGTTATTAATTTTAAATCTTTTTATTTAACTTAAAAGATATTAGTAAATTTTTAAATACATATTTATATTTATTAATTATATTTATTATTATTTATATTTATTATATAAAATATATCACAATGAAATGCTAACAAAAGACGATAAAGAACAAAATTCTAGAAACAAATAGTATACTAGTGAATATATATAATTCAATATTCTATTTAATTTTAATTGAAACTTGATTTAAAAGTTATTCAATGTTATAATATTTATTAAATTATATATTTGTTATATACATACATATTATAATTACATAATTATAAATACATATTGTAAAAATAAAATAGATTAAGTATTATATTCTATATTCTGTATTCTATATATTTTTTTCTTTTATTATTCTATAATAAATTTTAAATTAAATATGTATAATTTTATACTAATTATAGTATAAACAGAGCATTTTACTTTCATATAAAATGAAAAATAATTTAATTAATACATTTTTCAAAACTTTTATTGATTGGAAATTTATTAAAAAATTATGCTTTATTGTATTTCTATAAAATATAAATCTATTAACTATTATTTTCTTAATAAAAAAAGAAAGGATTGAATTTTTATAAAGAATGTTTGTTTTGTACAATATTGTATATAACGATAAAAAATAAATAAATAAATGATCATATATTTTAAATTTCTATTGGAAAGAATTATACAAAAGAATTATACAATAAATGAAACACGTGAAACAAAAACAAAAAAAAAATGCTTTCAAAATGTAGTCACGTTATATTATAAAAAAAAAACGTTCTTATCGGGAAAGGTTAACCGTTTTTATATGACTATATATGACTGGGTTGTGTCGATCGATAAATACGCTGACATTAAAGTACAATGCACACATTTTAAAGACAACTTATATTACTTCTCGATTTGTTTAGATTAATGAATAGATTAAATATACTAATAATATAAAACATTTTATGTATATAAAATAAACATGCTTAAGTTAAAAATGTGTTAATGATATGGTGCAAATTAATATTTTCCACAATTCACACACAATATTTTCCATAGTTAACATAAATATATGAAATATTACATTATAAATGCGTATTATAAATATTTATCATTAATTTTTAGTCTGCAAAATATTTATGTTTCATTATATTCATTCGACTATATGCGTATAAAATTAATATAGAAATGATTTTTAAAATAAAAAAATTATCTTATAATTATTTTTAAAATGATATTTTAAATTACATTATAAATAAATAATAGAAATTAAATATTACTGTAAAATGATATAAAATAATTTTTTTATTAAAAATTTTTTCCATTTAAAAATTTTTAATGTAGAATATATATATGTATATAAAATGACATCATATTAATATGACGTCATATTAACATTATTCCTACATATTCATTTATAGTACAAAGAAGATTGTTTCTAAAGGGAAATCTAAAGGGTATTCAACCAGGGATGAATGAATATCATAGATACAGTAAAGATCATTTTAACTCTGACCTATACTATATAATGACGTCAAAAATATTTTTAGTTTAAAATGGTTATTGTATAAAATATAAAATAATGCAATTATATAATATATAAATTTTAATAATAAAAGTATAATATAAAAGAGCGATAAAAAATAAATATAGATATTATTGTTTATAATATAGATAGATTAATATATATATAATAAAGATATAATATATATATATAATAAAGATAGATAAATCAAATAGAATTAATGTTACAAGATAAGATATTTTAAAAATAATTTCTAAAAATAATTTTTAA